AACTCACTCTTACATAAACACAGGATATCATCATGTACTAATGATGTATACATTATGTACTATATGTTGATATGACACCTCCTGTCCGCAGGTCAACACTTACACACTGGCGTGTACTTCTCAACCCTCTACATAAAAGGAAGTCTGAAAGACGCACTTCAGTCCCACAAGGTATATGGACCTGATTGACACCTGAAAGTCAACATGACAATCTCAAATGTATGGGCATAATCATGACCAGGACAACCTGTGTCATCCCTATAACTATGTACTACTTACTTAGTGATACAGTATCGAGGTTATTTCACCGTCTCGGATTGCACGGGTGGGTGACCCCACACGTGACCAACTACACTGCTGAAACCAACAACCGGATTGAAAAATTCCTGGATGAGAAACAGAACGAAGATGAAGACCACAGACATGTCGGACACTACGAGAACTCCAGTCCAAAACATGAAATTGAGGTAATAGTCTATAATGGCTACCACTCACACAATTTATAGCACGTATTAGCCATCGGAATGTGTATGTGTACCTACAAATTCAACCACATGTCACTGAGAGATATCATTAGCCATTGGTATGGTGCCTGTGATTGGTGTATATGCACAGGTGTGCGCAACAACGCTGGTAACGAGGTGTAGAAAGGCAGGCAGTGGGGAAGAGCAAACAGTCAACTACACAGGACAGCTCTAACTTTCAACAAAAGAAGGAAAAGAAGAAGAGAGCTGCCCTGGGTGGGATTCGAACCCACGGCCACTCTGCCGTCTAGGCGAGGGCTCGCCAACTGTAGACTACCAACTGAGCTCCCGGCACAGTTTAAGATACGGTAGTACACAGAATGGGATGCCAAACAGAGGTATTGAATATTACACGATATGTATGTTATTTGTGAGCGTCGATAGAGACATTGAGTATAGTACGTAAATGGTGTGCGTGAGACTGAGCATGCATCGTGGAAGGAGTGATTTGTTGTGTATCTGGCCCTCATAGCAAGTTCAGGCGTACTCCAAACTGTATACAGTCACTCACAAGGAGTTAAATGCTTTCTGGAGCCAGCACACTACTCGATAGACACCCAGAAGTTACAACGACGTCTACATAAAAGTACATATATGTACTTGTAGCGCACGACGTGGGTACTCAAAGGCACCATGAACCCCATAATCGACCACGAACTGGGTTTTTCGCATAGCTTCTTATCGTACAATATATTCATACACGCACATTTAAACCAACTACAGCCTTGAATGCTGCTTGACTCTGGATGCACACATTGTGGTCGAAATAAGAGCCCCTGACAGGGGAGCATTGCAGGCGCACATTAGAACACGCTAATATGACCTGCTGCTGTCCACACACAATGCCTTATGACAGGCAACTGCACCTACAGCGGGCCTTGTGGGCACCTAATAGCTGCTATTGCTGCTAAGAGAACTCGTGGTTTTGGCTCCTCTTATGTACACAGGACCAGCTTTCTTTAGGTGCGCCTTGCACCGCCTTGAACTACACTTGCCGCCGAATGTGAAACAATCGTTCTGTTTTCAAAACAATGACTTTGCGAGACAAATCCCCAAACGGTTCCACAGTGGGCCACAAAAACATCACCACACTAGCACACACCGTGACGAGATGTGTTGCCGCGTGCTGTGAGCAATCTTGTGTCGCCATACATTTATATTGGATACAGACCCTCTGCCTGTTGATTTAATTATGTCGTCCATACATTATATTGGATACAGACCCTCTGCCTGTTGATTATTATGTCGCCATACTTATATTGGATACTAGATCCTCTGCTGTTGTACATTGGATACAGGCCCTCTTAGTATGTCGCCATAGCTGTCTATTGGATACAGACCCTCCGCCTGTTGTATATTGGACATACAGAACATCTGCCTGTTCATTGTTGAAATAACTCTCTGTGAAAAGTCGGGTGCGTTTCTGCACCGGACGTAACTCCTCTTGCAGTATTATGTACAATAACAGCTCACGCTTTACTTACTACACTACACAAAGAAGGAAGGAAGAGAAAGAAGGAAGGTGAGAAGGGATCCACTACACATACACTTTCAGGTTTCTCGCAAGTACAGAACAATCATCTTATTGAAGTGACTGCCGTCTGGGCAATGTGTACGCAATCACGCTCACGCTTTACTTACATACTACACGTAGAAAGAAGGAAGAGAAAGAAGTGCGAGAGGGTCAGCTGATCCGCACACACATTACATTTAGGTTGTCTCCACCAACAGGGAAAAGTGGAACTGAAACAAGTTCTACATGCGGACGAATAAAAACTGCGACATTTAATTGGCGTCACGCACCAGCCCATATGTTATAATTTCCCGCTGAGACACAACAGTATAGACGCAACACCGTTGTGCATTATACACGAAACGTATACAGGTTTATTGTAGAGGCACGTGATTAACATTGCGATATAACACGCGCAACGGCGTTTCCGAAGACGACACATTCATTTTGGCTAGGGAGCAACAGGGTACAGACCACTCCATATATAACTCCAAACCTCTCGCACCGGCTGGCTCCAAAGATTTGCCAAATAGACGGCCGACTACAGTAAAAGTCACTTGTTCAATTACGTCGGATTGCGTATCCTTGACGTCGTATTATGTGACCATAGTACAATACATCAACCTCTATGATGCTACGTATATAGGTAATGCACAGTGCCAATCCCTATGCAAGTACAGAGGCTGCATACGTATAGGGACGTTATATATATATATATATACACAGCGGCTCTACATATATAATACTGTCCTACTCTACTTAGTGAAAGTGCATGAAAGGAGAAGAAAACGAGCGAAATCTGCACTTATAAATTATACTAGTCCAATACATCTCACGATACGTACACCATGCGCATCCCTATACGAATGCAGTTGGCATTTAAATCGCGAAAAATTGTAGCGTTTTCTCCGTTCGAAGCTGTACTGTATCAATTTTTACCCACTCTACAGTTGAGTCTCCATAATCTGTGTACAGGTAGGTCTACATACAGATAATAGGTCTATAATACACAGATAGAGGTCTATAATATACAGATAGACGTCTATAATACACAGATATAGGTCTATAATATACAGATAGACGTCTATAATACACAGATATAGGTCTATAATACACAGATATAGGTCTATAATACACAGATAGACGTCTATAATATACAGATAGAGGTCTATAATAATAATATACAGATAAACGCAAGAGGTTTGGGACTTGAAAACATGATTGTCGTGCAAGTGAACACAGGTTTCCATGTCAATGCCACACGCAAACACGACCAAAAAACAAGACGCCCTTGCTCTCACTCACACTCACACACACCTGACAGGCCAGCAGGATGAAGACCTTATATCCAACTCTAGATTTCCAAAACAGAACTCTCAAACTATCCTGCCCCTTGTCCTCTGAAAGTCTCCGCACCACGAAGCAGCAGAAAATTATCACCCACCCTAAAGTGATTAGCTACATACACGCGCCGGAGTTCTCCGAAAACGAAGTAACCGTGACAGTGCAGTACGATAGGGGGGCTTAGGTGTATACTTAGCAGCTAATGGCGTTGTTTAGTTTCGTGTGCCAACCTTGATGGGGGGAGTGTAGCTAAACACGGCAGATTGTCGCTGGTCGTTCAGCACCGACAAATCAGCTGTCTGGTATACTACGCGCACCACCCTAGCTAGTCGTACAGACCGTAGTAAGGACACATACTGTCGTTGCCAATCTCACGAACACGCCACACACACCGTTAGGTATTATACCGTTTCGGAGTCTTTCCGGCCTTTTTACAGTCAACGATCCACGTCTTTCTCTCTCACTGCTGCCTTCGCTCGTCTCTGCTCCGCTGATCCGGGCGTGAAACGGAACGCACGAACTCAACTACGTTGACTAATGCAATAATCAAGCAGGAGCGGTAGGTGCAGAGGCTCAGTGAACACTAAACTCACCAGAAACGGCCCATGTGGGGGAGATATCAGGCCGCCGGTAGTATTAATGATTAAAGTGTATATTTCCGGTGCCGCGGCTAACAACCCCACCCTTAGCTCCACCCATTATCCAATCGATTACTCGTGGCGCCGCCTCGGTTCGGTTCTGAACGTGTTCGGAAACTGAGTCTGCTGCAGAAAAAAAGGGGTGGGGCTGGTGAGCTGCACCAAAAAATCGGGCGTGGCTCGTTACTTCCGTAAACTAATCGGGGACGCGCAATCTCAAACCGTATATCGCCGCTTACCTCGAGAGTCCGGAGATTCAAAACTCGTCCCCGTGTCGAAGTGTCCCATTGTGTTCCGTCTTTTCGTCGACAAGTCTTGTGTTTCCTTCACTCGTATCTCTACGAGATCTCCTCAAGAAAAGACGGTCCAGCGGAGAGATGGTGAGTGTTGGGAGCGCACTTCTTGTCCCCCGCGGCTTCCCGCCAAAAATCCTTCGCGTTCCACGCCGCGCCAACTCCAGGGAGTTGACCCCCCCCCTATACGATACCCTACAAGTCGAGTAGTTTAATAGTGTAGTGTGTGTGTTTGTGCCTGAGTGTACGGGTGTGTGTGCCTACATTGTGTAACCGTGTACCGGTGTAGAATTTCTATATCGCACGCGCCCCGTCCCGCCGTCCTTCTCGGCGCGCACTAACCCACGATTCTCGGAAGAAGCTTGGCGTTCTATATATGAGATTACCTGCCGCACGCGGGTCTGTGCGTTTGCCTTGTCTCCCTGAAGACGTTGAGCGCGATCGGATCAGAATATCGAGGTAAGGTATATACACCAACTGGATAAGTCTGGCTAATTGACTATGCGTGGTAATGTATCAACCACTTAGTAAATCTTAGAGTGTTAGCTGAAGTGTACAAATAGCATCATCGTGTATGAACATGTCTAAAGGGGCAAAGCTTCAATGTGCTGTAATATATACAACTAGTACAGATTTTACCATAATGCATGGTATAGGGACTTTGAATGGATTTTGGGGTGCCAACTTGTCTTGCTGATCCCCACAAGTTTATAGTGTGTCCTTTATTAACCCGTTACAATGGGGTTAAAGGATGTAAGAAGGAGCTGAAAGAAGACATTATCGGGATGAAAGGGACTTGCTAATTTGTTTGGTCTAAGTGGATATCGGAGTTACTAATGGTCCCGAGATTAACGATACTCATGTTTTGATTGGTCAGATTTGTTAGCGGTGGTCTGCGATGATTGCCTCGTTAATGCTCCTAATCACGAACCTCTTTCTAGAGTGGTCTGTCGGTATCTCCCATTTTCTGTATTTTGCTTTACCTTTACCGTCCCCCCATTCCTTCCTATTAACTACACGCATGTCTCAACAACTTAGTACATAGAGAGCTACGTAGAAAGGCAAGGCAAGGCAAACAGCTCTTTCTTTTCAAATCATACACGTCTTTTTGTGATTGTACATAGTGCAGGCCCCCTTATGTCGTGGGGCCTATTTTTCATTTCTCCTCCCTCCCCCATGATTCCCCATCATAATTATAGTCTGGAGGAGGGTTCACACTGGTAGATTTCACAGTGCCGTCTCGTGACAATACAATGACCCACGAGCCTACCGAGGCCCCACTCTGTGATGAGGTGAGAACCTATACGGACTTATCCATACACCACATCAAAGTATAGTTTTCCGAGTAAGCATAGCTATTGCATTCATGGTGTTAGTGACGGTAGTGATGAGATTATGATTATCCATTATGTTGCAATCAAGTTGCCTTGGTGATGCATTTTAGTTGTCGTGGTAATGCATTTTTGGGTCTGGTGGCCCCTTGACGTCGTGTGATCTCTCTCTGCACACAGTGTCAGGCAAAGGACCTGTGCTTCTTTGACCCAACGTGCAGTGGCTGCCAGGACCTTCTGCTAGAGTGAGTCCTTTCCTCTCCCTCCTTCCTCTTGTGCGCTTATCTTTTTCACCTCTCTCTCCTTCCCTCCCTTCCCTCCTTCCCTCCCTCCCTCCCTCCCTCCCTCCCTCCCTCCCTTCCTCCCTCCCTCCTTCCTTCGTTACTTCATCTTTCTGCAAATTATCTTTCCTATGTCCGGAGTCTCACATTCCCGTATCTTCATTCTCCCATTATACTTCCATTCCCATATACACACTCTCCCATTCCCATATCCACATTCGCCAATTCACATGTCTGCGCGTTCACATTCCCATATCCACACTCTCCCATTCCCATATCCACATCTTCACATTCCCATATTGTGTCTCCATCCATTCCCTGCAGTTCCAACACCACCATCTCTCAGCTGTTTGCAGTCATGCGACAATGGGTTCCGCAGACCCAGAGAAACATGTCTTCTCTCTCCAGAGAGGTTCATACATACATACATACATAGGCAGTATACAATAGAGACCACGGTGGAGTATATATGATATTAGAGGGTTGGTAGACGCTTGATATAGGGATATATGTATTAGTTATTACACCCCTAAGAGGTATGTTGCTGGTTTATAGGCCCGACGCCAGAGGGCGCGTAGCGCCCGAGGGGGAGGGCCTATAAACCGAAACATACGCTATATAGGGGTGTGATAATGGTTATAGCCGTTCTCCGCGCGCGCGGCATCCGTATACTGCAGTATACTGACCGTATACCGCAGTTGAAATCTCGTTTGAAATGGCGACGTCTTCTAGAAGCTCGAAGAATCTGGTCCCGACGGGTGGGCAGAGAGCGATCTATCCTGCGGGGCGGAGCCACCGCCAAAGAGAAACGTCTCTCCTTGCAGTATAGACTAACCAGACGGAGCCACGTACGACGGACCCGGGAGAGCCGCGTAACCGTTTTTTGACGTCGGAGGAAGAGGCCGCTCTCTCTGAGTAAGCGATCGAACAAGCCTGGTCAGCCATGGTTTACAACAAAACCTGTTGGTAAAAATACCTTAGCGAAGATGGTTAAGGAGATGTGCGTCGATGCAGGTATTGGTGAAACAAGACAAACCACAGTTTACGGCCACTGGTGCTACTGAATTATACCAGGCAGGTGTCCCTGAGAAAGTGATACAAGAGCGAACAGGTCACCTCTCTTTGTCCGGTTAGTCAGTACGAACGCACTTGCGACAAGCAGCACGAGGCTGTATCCCAGATCCTTGCTGCAAAGGAAAATGTGTCATTTCAGCAGCAAGTTAGCATGAAATCACATTCATTGGTGCATATGCCAATTCCAGCTCCTCAATATTCCTTTTCTAACTGTAATGTCACGTTTAATACAGTTCACCCTGGTTATCAGCCCCCTGTGGCTTCTTCAAGTGTTTTTTGTGATATCACTAACTCTAAAACTCATGATTAGAGTCACTGAGTCATTGTAAGTCATGAAATTCATGAAATCTTGTTGCAACAGATATAGCCCCTGGTTATATGCCCCCACACCTAGTTATAGCCCCTCTTGACACCTACTTTGTGGTTTAGTTGATTTACAGTGTTATCCAAATGTATGGGAACCACTACTAGGTAGGCTATAAGTATAATTATACATGCATTATACAGTGTGGGATCATTTAGACCACTAGGTTAGCTCACTCCCGCTCACAATATTATTAGAGCGTTGGTGCTTGATAGTAAGAAGGATGGCACGGGTCAAACCTCGCATGAGCCGCAGACATACAGAAAGCCTCAAAACTTGGCTGAGAATGACTCGCTGGACCTTCATAACAGACGATCAATAGTCGAGCCCGTGACTCTTCCTTCATTCTTTCTCCCTCCTTCGATCACTCACTCACTTCTCTCTCTCCTCCCTCCCCCCTGGCCTCCTCCCCCAGGTCCTCCGAAGAGGAGCCAACATCAACGATCGTGACGGACTGACCGACCTCTCTCTCCTCCATTTTGCCTGCAAGTCAGGGGCAGCCGGAGTAGGCAACATCGATGCCGCAGTCAACCTTGTCAACTCTCTCCTCAACAAAGTATGCATCCATGCATCCACCATAAAGAACTTCTGTGTACATTACCTTGCAATGTTGTTTGCCAGCAAAAGTTTAACCCTTTGGACGCCAAGGAGTATCTCCTTAAATCAGCAGAAATTGATGTATGTATAACATATTAACACCTAGTCTTATGGACTTATGGCTATGGGCATATTATATATATAATATATGCCCGTGGCTTGCTAAGGGTTAAGTTCTCCGTTGACTCATTGTCTGAAATACACACACACACACACACACACACACCACACACACACACACACACACAGAGACATTGTCTAAAGTACAGCGCACACACACACACATGGCACAATGGTGCTCCTTTATGGAGGTCAATATGTACTTACACGACTCCTCTCTTTCTAAACATGGCGGCCATTTACGGCACACTATTGTCTACGAATTGGTCATGTGCAAATTGTCATGTGACATTCATGTGCCTCTAGTACATGTACATTATTCATTCCCGTACCCTCCCATTATCTGGGGACGAGACTTCTTTCGGAATGTGTTGTTACATTGCATGACATCATCGTAGGATCACATGACCAGGTTTACACCCAGCCCTAGAAGAGTTCCGCATTCTTCTCTGTAACTGTTAGCATTCCATGGTAACAGCAAAGGGCCATCTCTGTGCATCAAGAATGTGCTAATTGCCGCCAATTCCTGGACAGGATGCTTACTCACAAGGATGTGGCTGCTGCCCCAGTGCAAACACTCCTGTTTACCTCCCAGTAATATCAAACTGGCGTCCCTCAATTAGAACACAAAGGCTCTTTCTTCCTGTGAAATATTGAAATGGTTCCCCTTAATTAGAACACAGATTCTTTCTTCCTGTGAAATTTTGAAGTGGTTCCCCTCAATTAGAACAATTCCTGTGGAATTTCAAAAACGGTTTCCCTTAATTAGAACAGTACAGGTTGACTATAAAAGCAGGTGTTGGCTAGTGTGTGAGCATTCAGTTGTAGCCAGTTGTATGCATGTGTGACAAAGTGAAAAGTCTATAGCTACTAGTTGCTTGTGACTGATTGAGTTGGCTGTGCCGTGGTGTTGGTTGCCGTAGCGATGACCAATCAGATTGCGATCGTGGTGAGATTGAATCTCGACAATGGAAGGGTGACGGGGCAGGTATACAGACACCTGAACGGTACTGCCATTCCCTATAACCTGAAGGTACGTAATACGCAGCAGAACAGTGGTGTGTTGTAGAGAAGTCCGTATGTATGTATGGTGGAAGTCAGTGGAACTGCCGTAGTGTCACGTAGATGTTCACATAGTGTCTGGAGGTCACTGGTGTGTTGTAGAGATGTCCGTATGTATGTATGGTGGAAGTCAGTGGAACTGCCGTAGTGTCACGTAGATGTTCACATAGTGTCTGGAGGTCAGTGGTGTGTAATGGAAGGCCATCTGATCTGAAATGCATTGGAATGTGTATACTGCATGAGTTGCTTCAAGGCAAGGGGCCCTCACTTCTTTCCCTCTTCCATCGATGGGACTTATGTGTTCACTTTCCCTGCTATCCCCATCCTCTTAATTTCGTCTCATTTCTCCCCCGACCCCACCCACCCTCTCTCTCCAGGGAGCAGATTCTGAGCTGAGGTGTAAGTGGACTAACATGAATGCACTCCATTACGCCGTCTTCTTCGATGTCCCTGAGATTGTCGATACTCTTCTGGAGCACAAACCATGTAAGACCTCTCTCTCTCTCTCTCTCTCTTCCTCTCTATGTGAGTCTTTTTCACCTCTGGCCGATTTCGGACTGATTTCTCGTGTTAAGGGTGTCTTACAAGTGCTGGCAACCGATCTCAACATGTGACTAATGGAATCCTTAACTCTGTTTTCCTTACAATACATGGGTTGCCACTTGTAGTGGGAAGATCTATGTATGTAGGCTGAGTGCTGTGGGTTCGATTGCTACCAAGACCAACTCTTTTTTTTTCATTCTAAAATAGTTTTATCCTCGGTGTCATCGATTTGGTTTGATTTCCACTTCCTCTCTCTTTTCCGTAACTTTGGCCCGTGTTGTTACAAGTCTTTCCTTACGGTAGTTATCCCATCGTGACAGCTGTATGCACATACAACATTCTTAGAATTGAAACCAAATGATTTTTCCGTCACATAACACTTGTGTACTCTGTAATACACGACATACATAGTACCTACAATCTCCATCTACTCCATGGGAAAGTTTATTAATGACATATAATATAGTACGTGCACGGTAACACACAACACATAATATGGCCTTATGCGTTGTGCGTATATAGTATTACACAACTGGGACGTGTGAGATGTAAAGTAGCATGCATCTTCATTAAAGTTGTGTGCTGGGCCTCTTATTCTCTATGCTGGGTCTGCTTTAACAACACAACAGAATTATATGCCTGTATTCTCTATGCTTATCCAGCCCATGCCCATGTGAACAGTAGTACATGATTGTCTTGTAACATTGACATTACAATGAGGTGTACAGCTGTTCCTACAGCAGTTCTACCCACACCACAACAATGAACACCTGATAATTGGAATGCACATGTCCACTTATTATCTGTTACCAGGCCACACACACAGTTGTACATCTTGTACATACAGTTCATGCAGAATATGTACATTCTGTAGTGACTGAAACTTATCTACAGGGTTTCTTACGGGGCTCCCCTACATGCAGTCATGTGGTGTGATAGTGTTTCTTACAAAATGATGTCACTACCTTTACACATACGTACATGGTGTACTGTATGTGCATTGCAGGAAACCCTATACAACTTCCCCTACAGCTGCATTAGTGCTGAATAGAATTTCCATGTACTGACAATGTACATGTATGTACTGACACGTACTGTACATGTATGTACTGTATGTAAATGTCTAACAGGCTTCCTACAAATCCCAACCTGTGTATCCCTGTCATGTGGTAAAGGGAGTGGAATGAAATCATTGCCTTTTGGGTGGAATCTTTGCATGACATCCTTGGGTGTGTCAGAGAAAGAGATGCAGCTGGGTGCAGAATCTCTACACGGCATACGGGCGAATGGGAATGTGGCAGTGTTTTCAAGATTCTTGCACTGAGCCCTATTGTAAATTCACCCCATGTAGTGTGGTGTAATGTCTGTTGTTTCCATCTCCAGCTCTGCTCCACACGACGTGTGATGAGTTTGATGGAGGAACTGCCCTCCATATCGCTGCTTCTAACGTCTCCATCAGAGCCACTCAGATACTGGTATATGCATTATTTTACCGATTATGCATCGTTTTGATTATGCATTGTTACCACACTGGTTGTTGTTAAATTATGTAACGCAGACTATGTATGTACGTATCATCTGTATTTAACCCTTTTCTTTCTCCCTTCTATTACAGCTGCAACACGGAGCAAACTGCAAGGTCACCGACAGAAACGGCCACGCCCCCATCGACGTCGTCCCTAGCAACCGAACTGAGGAGTCGGAGGGCGACGTGACCAATCAGATGATAGCTCTGCTCCAGTCGGCTGCGGAGGCGATGGAGATGAAGGAGAGAGAGGCACAGGTTGCTGCGGATGCTAAAGTGGAGGAGGGAGAGAGGGAGGAGGGAGGGGAGGAGGATAAGGAGAACGCCATGGAGATAGAGCCAGCTGTGATGGTGGAGAAAGAGACCCCGAGAAAGGTAGGAATGGAGGGAGGGAGAGAGGGAGGGAAGTGGGGGAAAGTATATACAGTATATACTATTGAAGAAGAGAGGTGGTGGAGGGGTTAAAGAGGCATGTTCACATAGTTTTACATGCGTGTGTGCCATTCTGTGTAATGGAAACGAGGTACAAGTGACAAATAGCGAGTAATGAAGGGAGCAAGTGTGAAATTAGGAGAGAATTGGTTTATGATCAGCGACAGTCTTTTGTCTTTTTATGGGCACATTCCTATCTCAATTCATCGGTTCTATGTAACCACGGTCACCTGATAGTATCGCCACGGCAACAAACAGAGCACCATCAATTGGGCAGAAAGAGGCGTCAACAACGACATCATGTATTGCGATAATGACATAATGCTCCGTTTATGTCCATCTCACCCCTACTATACAATGACTGCCATACACGTATAATGTTGACGGAATTCCCATGACTCGTGAATATCATTAAAAGAATGGAAGTGTCATGAAAACACAGTTTTGTATTGGGGTGGTGACAACACGTGATGTAGCCTGCTCTATGTGACCGTATTGTGAGCTATGAGAGGCGGCTCTAATTAGAATCATAGTCGGCTTGTTTACTTGATCCGCGGTTCATCGGCTACCGATATAAACCATTGACCTATCACTGGATTGCAGTTTAGTCAGATCATTGTGTCCTGTGTGTCTAGCTGCAGAGTATATGTCAAACGCCATAGCTTTACCTATAAACTTTGCCGTATTAGTGCCTATAGCAGGAAGGTGTGTCAGTATGTGTACATGTTAGTCTGTGGTAGTGTTGACGGATTGGTTGAAGTCTAGGCAAGAGTTGTGGTTATCGGGACCTGTGGGTCTATTGTATCTGAGGTATGTTAGTCCTGTAGAACATGTTGGGCAAACTACTGTACATGAATGCCTGTTTACCTGTAGCATGTTAATGTAGAGGCGCTGTGGGGGGTCTGTATACAGTCTTGTACAGTAGCTATAGGTGTTGCAAAAGATGCTGTATGAAGCATGTAAAAGGTGCTGTAGTATCTGTATGAAGCATGTAAGTGTTGTAAAAGGTGCTGTAGTATCTGTATGAAGCATGTAAAAGATGCTGTAGTATCTGTATGAAGCATGTAAGAGGTGCTGTAGTATCTGTATGAAGCATGTAAGAGGTGCTGTAGTATCTGTATGAAGCATGTAAGGGTGTCGTGAAGTCTGTAGACTGTGTTATGAGGCATACCAGCTGGTGGGTGAGAGGACTCGTATCGGGCTTGTAAGTGATTACGTCATTCATGTAGTTTTCACATGTGTCGGGCCTGTAAGTGATTACATGGTTCATGCAGTTTTCATGTTCTTTTCGCACTCCCATTTTTCATTTGCCTTTCTCTTGTCTCCTTCCTCTTTCTGTATCTCTCTCCTCCCCATCATCCACCTCGCTTGTTTTACTTACTCACTACCCTTCTCCCCTCTCTCTCTCTCTCTCTCTCAGTCTCACCCACCACAAGGCAGACCTCCTCATTCTCCGGCTCAATCAAAACCTCACTCTACGACAGCCTCGCTCTCTGTCAGAAAGACACACTCACCTCGTACCACCACCACCGCCACTACCAGAGACCCCGTCCGAACCAGAGGTTAGCAATACCCATCACTGTTGACAAACTACATATCATAATGCTGCAATGCAATGTGGATGAGCTACCATAATAATGATATTATGTGGCTGTTTGTATAGGTAATAGTGCAGTTTGGTGTGGTATTAGGGATTAATAGGGATGGAATTTTTCAAAATAGTATGAGGCGAAGCCGAATACTATTTTTAAAGATTCCATCACTATTAATCCCCTAATACCACACCAAACTGCACTATCACATGTTAATAGTATAGTGCTGTGTATAGTGATCAGTGTGTTATATAGATTAGCTATAGTCATGCTCACAAGATCTTTCGCGACACTTGTTTCTGGAGCTGTAACTTGTATGAAGTATTTCACATTGATTTCCTAGTCACTTGATTTGATTGGTCGATTTTCTGGGGAATTTAAATTTTCGGGGGGTATTTCAATTTTCCAAGGGTATTACGGTGAAATAGTTAAATTCTCTATGGATCAAATGTATTGGCTGTTACATAGTATACTATTAATGTTGAAATCGGGCATTTGAGCTGGAAAAATACTCATTCATTCACGTTTTTTGTGCTATAAAACTAAATGGACACGTATCACATCCATTGTTGTTATAAAATGTTTTACACACACATACACACATCGATTTCCCGTTCAGTTTAGTAGCATTTATGGATGCTTTTAGTATATATATATACACGCACTAAGAGGTTAAGTTTAGTAACACTTACAGCAAGGGTTTTTTAGTGCACAAGATTGCATCACCGAAGAGCCGTGTTTCCATTTTCCCAGGCACACGTTCCCCGGTGTCTACGGTCTCAACGGTCTCCAGTGCCTCCTCCAGAGCTGTGTCTCCGGCAGCAGCTAACGAGGTTACCATGGAGACTCTCGGTCTCAAGATCGGCGACAGGGTCCTCATCGACGCCAAGTCCTCCGCCAACAAATCCAAGGTGTATTTTTACTGGAGATGCAAGACCAAGCCAACGTCTAATATCACTACTAAGTACGGTAGTACTTAGTATATAGGGATGGGCATGGTACCTAGCATCATACATGTATGGGGCTATGATAGCGAGTTTTGTTCATCATCTTCATGAACATTAGGGAGCAGCATATCACTAAGTATGATAGTACTTGGTACAGGGATGGGCATGGTACCTAGCATCATAGATGTATGGGGGGAGTTTTGTTCATCTATCTTCATGAACATTAGGGAGCAGCATATCACTAAGTATGGTAGTACTTGGTACAGGGATGGGCATGGTATATATATACCTAGCATCATAGATGTATGGGGCTACGATAGACATACATATGTATAAGGTACTAACGGAAAGAAAATTGGGATGAACAACACTATTGATATGTTAGTACACCATTCATTACTTGTGTACTTGCAGTCTGGAACCGTAAGGTTTGGAGGTGCGATAGACTTCCTGGGGGGTCAGTGGGCGGGGATTGAACTTGACGAGGCTGTCGGGAAGAACGACGGCTCTCTCAAGGGAATCAGGTTCTTCACCTGCAAACCCAAGTTTGGTGAGTTTGTGACACGGGTGTTCATGGAGTGGGGAAAAAGTGAGCAAATTTGATCAGTGGTACATATACATATTTTGGGGCAAGGAAGCAAGGGGAAAATTGTAAACCTCACAATCAGTGGTAATTTCAGAATAATAGAGTTGTTTCCCTTCGTTTTCTAGTTTGCTAGACCTGTGCACATAAACTTCCCCTTATGCCTCGTTTGCCTAAAGTTACACCTCCCTTATATGGCAGCCTCTTTACCCCTCCCCTCTCACACCCTCCCTCTCTCTCCCTGTCTCTCTCTGCCATTTTCTTTACCTTTTTGCCACTCGCTCCTTCACTCCCCCTCTCTCCAGGTCTGTTTGTTCCAATGCAGAGAATCTCAAAGGCTCCAATGAGGCAGTTGTCCACAGAGAGAAGGAAAAAGATGGCCGCCAATGGAGGGAGAAAGAGGGAGTCTGTTGCCCTCTCTCCTCGCACCTTTGAGGCTCAGGGAACCATGGCCGTCACAACAGACCTACAGGTCCATTTCTCTCTCTTCTTCCTTCTCCTACTTCCTGATATTTGGGCCTCCGTTTCTTGCAGAAGCATTGCAAAAGCGCCACAATTTTTGCAGAAGCGCCACAATTATTTCATTTCTGAGCCGTGGAATACTTATAGCTTGCATGTGATTTTTGCAGTAAAATGGCTCACAGGGCACAGGCATAATGTTGAGGTGGATATGAAAAGCTGACTGCTCTAGATATAATGAAATAGTTGCGGGCTACTTGCTCTCTAGCTATAAACTGAAATAGCTTGCGGGCTCCTGAAAGGATGACAATTTTCTTAAAAAAATCAAAGCAATTTTCTGTGCCCAATTCTGTCAGCGAGATATATAATTAAAATTTTTGCAAAACTCGTGTATATATATCAACTTTAACCCCACCCTCTCTCTCTCTTCTCCCTCTGCCAGATGCTCTCTCCTCGCTAGGGCAGTAGCAGCAACTGCTCCAGTGGATCCTCTACCACGTGCCCCGAACTACTGATTCACTGACTTCCCAGCCACTGCCTCCGTCCTCGCTCTCTCCGCCCGTGGGCCCGCTCGTCCCTCTCCTCCCGTCAACAACGAAAACTGCCCAAGAACCTCGCAAGCACCACAAAGTCGTATATCTGCTTCGTGGTCCAACTGGATTTGTATCCAGCTGAAGCTCACACCAGCCACTTTATACCACCACAGAAACCAATTATTAAAACAGGCCCCCAGTAAAGACCCAGTGAAGGCCTGGACGTCGGAGATAACGAAGGGCCTCCGCCCGGATGATCTCGAGGAACCTCTCAAGCATTTTGTGACCTAAATTGAAATAACGACCTCCCCCTAACATTGGGCGGCATGCACCAGTAAATGATTCTATACTAGCCGACCAACCCCCTGGTCGGAGTATACATATTAAATGTCATTGCTCAAACTATCAGTCTGCTTTTTTCTCTTCTTTCCCTTGCAT